AGAGAGAGAGACAGACAGACAGACAGACAGGCAGGCAGACAGACTGACATCAGGTAAATGTCTAATATACTAATATTATTAATGTCAAAAACAACTTGCACTATTTGACCGAAAGCAAAGCCGGATGGACAGAAGGGAAATGTTCAAAGAAGAAGAAGCGAGATGGACGGACAGAATCATCATTGCCTTTCTCACCCTGCACCAGGGTATAGGCCACGGACAAACACCTTCTACCTTTCTCTATCCTGGGCTAGCCTCTTGATGTCATTCCATGTCTTCCCTCATTTCTGTACATCAATTTCTGTGATTCTTCTCCATGTTCCACGCGGTCTTCCCCTTGATCTCTTGCCCTGTGGATTCCAATCCAAAACTTTCTTTGTTATGCAGCTGCCTGACTTCCTGAGAGTATGTCCAATCCATCGCCACCGCCTTCTTCCCACCCCATCTCTGACTGGGATCTGTCTTGTTCTCCTTAACACTTCCACATTGGTGACCCTGTCTGTCCATCTGATCCTCAGTTACTTTCTTAGACACTTGTGCAAGAAAACCTGGATCCTCTTTTTGGAGTGACAGACTCAGGATAAAGGTCTAAGATCCGGGGCGACCAAGCCCAACCCAGCGCGTCCACAGGTGGCGGATAGTGGGACGGTCTAGGTTAGCTGCCAATATCTAAATAAGCAGTCGCAGACGACATGGCGGCGAGGATGGGGGCGGGGTGAAGACTGTGGTGTGGGATCCCATTCTTTTACTCAATGTAAAATACCCTAAGTGCCCGGTGAAAGACTCGCCAGCGAGACTGGGGCGCGATATCCCCACACCCCGGGGAGATGGAACTCGTTAGCCAGGGATGACAGTTCATCTAGGAGAAGGAAAACTCTGATCAAAAACCCCAGCTGCCCAGCAGGCAAACCCAGGAAAGTTCTAGGATATGGGAGCCCTCCCAGACAGAAAAGCACGCAGAAGACGGAGAGGTGGACTGAAAGGTGCCGATAGTCGGACTTGCCCAAACCGCCTCACGCAAGGCTCATTATGATGACAGGATCCAAACAAGATTTTCCTAGAGGCGTTTTATCTGTGGAATCCCATGAAGTGCCGGGCCCTCTGCCTCGAAGCCCCCCC